AGTCTGTGAAAAATAAAAGTGAACTGAACATCAATTCATTAGAAAAAAGAAAGAAAAAGCACCTGATAGGCATTGCATTTGAAAGGCAAGAAAACTATATTGCTAAGAACACAGGGGACAGGAGGAATTACATTTTTCTTGCTTTCCAAAAACTGCATTAAAGTACTGCTACAGACAACATTTTTTTAAGAAAATGTGATATTAAAATATTAATAATCAGTCAGATTACAGTTGAAGTAATATTAGTGAGCTAAGAGAAAGAGAAAGATAATATAGCCTTTAAATAATAATAATGTATATATTTAAAAAGGCACGCTGTGTCACAGTTCTGGTCACATTCTTCTGCAAAAGAAAGAAAAAAGGACCTTTGCCACAAACCCAGTACAGAAAAATACCATTCCATTTTAATACTTATATTGAATGATGTAATTCTTGTATCAAATATATATTTTAACTAAAATGTCTCTTCTTGCTCTTCCTTCGTGAAAACACACATCTCTCTTATCCTAAAAGTCCTGAGTCCAATACACAAAAATGCTGGACGCATGATTGGTAAGCAGAGGACCAGGCAAGAGAGCACCACTTGTAAGGGAAAAGGTTTCCCCTTCATTGCAGTGTCAGCAGCAGTTTGGTGTCTATTGTCCATGCAGAACTACCAAAGGCATTGCAATTAGGCCCCCTTTCACTGGGCATACAATGTATGTATTGGAATCCTGTGCAGTCTTGAGATCAGCTTTCTTAAGTTCAAATGCCTTGAAGCCAAGTAGATCTCTCAATTATGGACAAAGTGCAGCACCATGATCCACAATGGATTAAACAAGTTGTTTATAAGGGTGCACTGAATCATAGCCAGTTTCTTTTGGAATGAGATGTAATTTTATTATTAAGGGTGCTGCATAAGGATATAAAGTTAGATAGTTGTCAGAAACATAAACAATGTTAAATATTTTCTGTTTTATCCACAGATATGGATTAGCCTCTAGGTTGCCCTTCACTTAGGTCAGAGTAAATTCCAGATTTTGGCCCCCTACACCTCACTTTGCACCATTGAAAGCTCCCCCAACCTGCAGAAACAATTTGGGGGGGGCGGGTTTGCAGGGGCTGTTGAGGAAAGCAAGAGAAGGAAAAACCTTGTTCCATGAACTGCTCAAAGTTAGAATCCAAAGAGTGAGTAAACATTGTCTTCTATTAAAGTCATTTAAATGAGTTTAATGATTCTTTATTTAATAATTTTAAAATTGTGATTTATATGTTGTTTTTAATTCTTGCTTTTTTTAATGATTTGTGAGCCACCTTGAATCCCGCTGTTGGGAGAAAGATGATGCATAAATGCAATAAATAAATCTGGCAATTCGTACCCAAAGCTTTGTGATTGCTCCAGGTTGCACGTGTGGAGACACCATGTGAATCAGTTTCCAGCAACAAACAGCAGCAGCTATCAATGGAGAGGCACAGGGCTTGGTAAAGTAACTTTTTAAAAAAACTAATGCTGCTTTAGGTATTCTGGGAGTTGTAGTCAACAACAACTTTCCCAAGTTCTGTGGAACTACTGTGTGTTCACTGAAATGTCCTGCAAAAAACTACTGGAGTTCAGCTTAATTTTGAATCTGATCTTTGATCCAATTAAGTTTTGAGTCCTGGATCTAATTAAGAAGAAGAAAGGAATATTTCAGAGTCAACAGGGAAATTGCAGGCACTAAATTAATTCTTGGCACATTTCAGGGACACACCTGGACTAATTTTTAAAGAATATATATATATTGCCTCAGGTTGCTTTATAAAAAATTGAATGATATTGCATAGCTCGTAACAACAAAGAATAAATAATTTTCCCATCAAAATATTCAGTAAGAGTTATGCATTTTGCTCTTCTTTTCCTTTGCCTGTACAAACTATTAAAAACAACACTCTGTAAGTTTTAAGCATGTGGTAATTCTGTTGGAAAGGTCCTCCTACACACTTATTGTGACAGCAGAACTCTTTTGGACAAACAAACCTATAGTAAAGTATTCCCGTTACGGAAAACAACTGTCTGAAAACGAGTAGGACAAAAATTATGCTAAAAAGTCTATCATTTAACATAAAATATTTATCAGGTTCAAAATTATTTTCTATTAAACAAAAAATAGTAACTTTCTCGCAGAAAATAGATGTTATACTTTTGAAGATAAGCTGCGAAGGGTTTAAGATGGAATCATCAAATGTGAATAAATGAATGTTCCTCATCTGACAACCAAGAAAGATGGTACTTCTAGCTATATCTTCACTGAGCTGCTTTTGAAAATCAAGGCTGAAGTTTATATAGCTCCTTTTTGTGAAAACAGCAACAACCATAGCACTGTTGTCTACACCCTAATGCTCTTCAAACCAGCTGCTGAACAAAGTGCCAAGATCGTCACATGAAGGCTTCCGTGATTATAACAGATTGAATGACAAAGAAAACGAATGAAAAAGAAGCCAACTTCTTTCACGACTGGCACTGGTGCTGACTCTTGGAGAAGAGAACAAAACCCACTGGTGTGTCCCTCTTCTGTAGCTCCACCAGGCTCGCTATTCAGGAACAAAACTCTGGTGTGCATGGCTCAAGAATACTTCCGTGCTCCTTGGAGGTAAGTCGTTGAATATCTTCTGCAAACCTTCAGGCAGGATGTTCTTCTGTCACCATTGTAGACCTTCCACAAGTATCTCCTCCCTCTTACTTGTGCCATTATTTGGCTATCAGCCAAGGAGTTTGACCCTTTAAGTGACAGATAAATTATTTCACACAGAAATGTCCTTGCAGATACTAGTAGAAGTGTTGCTCTTGACATCCAAAGTTATGCAAAATCTCAACTTGAAACCATCTCTATTGCAGTGGTATATATTAAGTGTACGCCCACATTAGGTGAGGTTATAATCTTTGGATTACATCAGCAGCAAATACTTCTGATGTACCTATTTCTGGTTATGCACTTGGCCATCCCTATCCCATCTCATTGTGTTAATCTGAATGGACTGCAGTGAGTACATTTATAGCTATCCCACAAGCAGTCAGAAAGGTGGCACTACCAAAGTACAGTTCAGCTGCATCCTAAGCCCAGGGAGTAAATTAAATCTAATGTGCACTTCGTAACTAGCTCACTGGTTCCCAAACTGTGGCCATGGTGCCCTCGGGGTCGTAACTAGCTCACTGGTTCCCAAACTGTAGCCATGGTGCCCTCGGGTGCCACCAAACCCAGCCAGGGGTGCCATGAAATCTGCTGAAGTACTACTTAGGTCAGGCTTCCCCTCTCTCTTCTCCCCTTTCTCTGAAAGTAACGTATTGGAGGAGACACAGCCAACAGCTAGTAAGTCACGGGAATCTAAAAAGTTTGGGAATCACTGAACTAGCAATTTTGGAGGCATCCAAAGAGATGCAGATCGCATATTGACTTCTTTAAACTGTCAAATACAGAGATACTACATATGTTGATGGCAGTTGTAGGAGGGAATAGAATTAGTGCATTACTTGAGTTACAATTTTTCACTCAGTACTTGTAACTGTGTTAATAGCACATCAGTAGTACATACAAATTTAGCTTTGTTTCCTGGATTAGATAAATGTATGCCACATGTCACTGTTAAACTCCATCTGAACTAATATGTTGGATTCTGTGTTCTAGACTACTGGTTCTTAACCTTGGGTTACTCAGGAGTTTTGGACTGCAACTCCCAGAAGCCTTCACCACCAGCTGTCCTGACTGGGGTTTCTGGGAGTTGCAGTTCAAAAGCATCCGAATAACAAAGGTTAAGAACCACTGTTCTAGATGATGGTAATAAAATGGGACAGGTTTAGAGGGAGATTTGAATAATTATAGTCCTATGAGGAAATGTGAATACATCTGGAGACGTCTGATCTGGGCATGCAATGCTTGCTAAAGCAAATCCTGCAGTGCCTTTTTGCTGTAACTGTGAACTGACCGAGTAGAGTTTCCTTTTATGCTACTTGAAGAGATCAGCAGCATATTTTAGTAATCTGCTTTTTCCTCAAGTCAAGATCTAGCACATGCAAACCACTGCAAGTGCAAGGAAGTGAAAGCAACTAACTCTTCACTTCAACCATTGATGGCACTGCTAAAGTGGAGATCAACAGTCCAGCTTTTCAGGACCAGCACTCTTGATGAATTAAATCTCTTCCCTGTGCCCATCTTTGCAGTTAGCTCCTCCTCAGACCCTGCAGTCTGGGTGGGGAAAGCATAGGTGCTTCTATGATACCTCTAAATTTTATCCTGTGCACAGAGCTTTAAATGCAGGGCTTATCAGGAGAGAGCACACAGGAAAAGGAATCCTCTTTTCCCTGCATTGTGGTGTGTGTGTGTGTGTGTGTGTGTGTGTGTGTGTGTGTAAGGGGAGTTCAGTTCTTGAGCAAATTGTTTTGAGTTGTGAGGTTTTATTACAGGAATAATAGGGAAATGTTGAACGAGTGCAACGGGAAATCCATTTAATGGTTCTCAGAATGATTTTTTTAAAAAATCAGCAATGCATAGGGAAGAGAAGAGATAAATCCAAACAGAAACGCTTTCCAGGTGTTTGATAACTATGTAAAACTAACTTGTGGAAATGAGGTAGGGGGGCAGGATAAGGCCTCTTGCTCCTGTCCTTGATGCTCCCTGTACTGTATAAAGTTATTTTGAAACACCTGAAAAGGGCTTTTGTTTTTGTAGCTTCTATTCTTTTCTATTTAAGCAGAATTCCTATTTAGATCTGTTCGGTTATGTATCTAAAGTTTGCTGTTTTCAGTAGGAGAGGATGTTAAATTTTTGTGTTAGCCAATTTAGGAGAAAGATGAAGGTCTTATCATGAGCATGTTTCCTACATGCAGAATCTTTCTAATAGATACTGTTAGTGAAATTGAAGAGAGGTAATTTCAGTTGTCTCACACACACTGTTGATTCAAGTCTACCCATTAAAAGTACCATTATATGATTTATTTACAAATGTTAAATTTCATTTAATTTCATTTTAATAATGGAAATCCACAATATTTTAAATTGTTTCTGCATTCACTGTTAAACGGATCTGATTTTTGTATGTACATACGAGTCGTTTTTTTCCCCTGGTGCCTGAATGCAATAATTTAACTAAGCTGTAAGACTTAATATGGGAGCACAAATATCATGCAAATATTGCAGCTGTATTCCACAATGCAAGAAGCATAGTATCAATGCATATAATTACACAAATGATTGGCAATCAGATAAAAAAGGGAGAAATCTAGCATTTTCTGTACAAAAATATGCAGCTTTTTATAATTTGCTAGACATGTATCTTTTGACATTTTCAAAAAGTAACATTGTATAAAAATAAATATTCTATGCACAAACACACATACACACACACACAGGCCAGTCCATGGTTAGAATCATCACTGCAAAAGAAAAATACGAAACTATGTTAGTTTCACACAAATGTTGGAAGGGGATTTTCAGATGGGAAGTGCTACAAAAATTGTCATGCACAGAACTGAATGGGATTTACTAAGATTCAGGAAAATTCACCCAAAATGAAGTACTTTTGAGCCCTGTTGATCTGACAAAGAGAGTTGTGGATGCATGATAGCTCTTACTGGGGGCAAATGCAATTTAAATGTGCCTAGCTTTGTTTATTTGCAGTAGGCATTTTTCTTAGGCCCAGGTCACACAAGGGAAATGTTTTCTAGTTCTTCCAATACCTCTGTTGTACTGAATCGTGGCCATGTGGTTTATATCCCAGGATAAACGTTCCAAGAACTTTTAGCAGTACCAATGTATTTCCTCCTATATTAATCATTATGGCCAGCTACACTATGGTACCCATTTATCTTCTCTCTTGCTTTAAGGGGCAATAAATATATATAAAAATCAATATATCAGAAACAAGTCTCCTTTTCCTCCTCCCCCCCATGCACCCACAGCTATGGTTTCCAGCCCCTTTCATTCCAGTTGCAACTGAACCCTACACGGGATTCAGACTTGTATATGAGGGGGGTGGAAACTGAAAGGGAGCATAGATTGGGAAGGGGTTTCTGTTTAGGAGAGTGTCTCTCTGCTGCACTAGCTGCTCTTGCAAAGAAATGCATTGCACACAATGTACTTGGGATAACTGCACAGCAGTACTGGCAATCACCGCCCCCCCCCAAGACATTGGCATACCAATGTTTCAATGTTTCTTCCCAAAGGAAAGGAAAAAATTTATTACTTGCCAGTAATGTAATGGCGGAACATATTTTTACCAATGTATTGATGTATCAGGCATGAAAAAAAAATGTGTGTGCTGATGTAATGGTGACCACCTCTCTGGCTTTGATTCTGAAAAGAAGTGGGGCCGGTCATGCACACAGGCAATCCCAGTAAGGAATGCACCGATACAACAAAGGTACTGTACGAGATAACACAGCACACAGGCAATCCCAGTAAGGAATGCATCGCTACAACAAAGGTACGAAATAACACAGCCCTCCTGACAATGGGGAAATGTTCTGCAGTTATGCTGCTAGCCGGGAAAATGTCTTTGTCTTGACTCTGCATCATGTGACCAGGGGAAAACTACTGACATAACTGTGGATAACTACATAACATTTCCCTCATGTGACCTGGGCTTTCGGTAGGATATACGAATGCTGACAAGTCTTGGTTTTTGGTTTTTTTCAACCTACTGGCACCTTTTGAAATTGCATTCTCTGACCTTTCCCTTCATAAAGGCTTTTACTAAATGACTGGCCAATGAGGAAAGGACTTTTAATGTGAGATTCCATACTTTTTTACTTCTTATGTGATTTTAGATTGTTTTAATTCAGTGGCTGCTCCAATAGAACAATACAATTAGTCCACTTAATTGTTTTTATATTATAAAAAGTAATTACATACTGGGTAGAATCTTGTTGCATAAAGTTATGCTAGTATAAGCCAGATCCCGCACCAGAAAATATATAATTTAAGTTAATTGGAAGTATCATATTCTCCCCTTTTAGGCTCCCGTGCTCCCCAGGGCTCCCTTTTGCCAGGGAGAAAACCATTGGGAGCTTCAGGATAAGGAGTTAATGTCAAAAAAAATTGCTGTTGGATTGCTAGCTTCAGCTCCTCCTACCCACAGCAACAGTGGATGAGAGGTGGAGGGTTGTGATCATGTAGCCATGCAGCATATGTTTGGAATGATTGGAATGAGGAAAATGGTCAAGGTTGCAACCGCTCTTGTAGAGTGGCTTTCTCCAAACTTAGCTAGAGAGTTCTTAGCCATCTGACAAGTAAGTATGAAAGGAATAACAATTTAATACTTATTAGGCTAGTAAGAGCCTAGCAAGTATTAAAGCATTATCAGTTCCCTTTGTCAACTACTGGGATGAACCCAGCTGGTATCACCTGGCCCAGAATAATACATGAAATACACTCTGTTTTCCAGAATGAGGACATTCACATGGTATTGAAAGAGAACACGCCTTAAACATCTAGGGAACGTCATATATGTTTGAGCAATGTAGACAGGTTTTGTAAGAAAATCAGGAGAAGGATATCCTGGGATATGTCCCAAAAGGAAATGATATTTGGTTCCAAAACCTATGTCCAGTCTTAGTGTTACCTTATCGTTTTTGAAATATTAGAATAAGAGAATCCACCAGCAGAGCCACAAGTTATTTTGCTCTATGGGCTTAGATGAAAGCCAGAAGGAATCCCAGTTTCATTTGACAGAAGGTGGGGTTCTGCCACCATGGAGGGCTCAAATGGTTTTCAGGTCAAATAACAGAAGATTCAAACAAAGGATAAATGCTTCAAGGTCCCTTAAAAAGCCTCTTTACATATAGATATGTAAATCAAAGCTGTTCAGATACGAATTTGGAATAATGAGAAACTGCAGCATGATATACTCACAGCATTGCTGTGAGGGCCCCGGTTATTTCAGTGGTAACAAGAATCACACTATATGCTCCAATTTGACTTTGCCAGCTGATGATGATGGATTTCCCACAAAAGTTGGAACATAGCCCATTTAGCTTCATATGATTTCCTTGTGTTGCTTTGTGACTTCCCAAATGGTCAGCAGTTGTGGAAGCTAGAATGGGGCAATATCTGCCATGCTAGGGAGACCTAGAGAGGCAATTTGTCATATTTTCTTCGAAACCACAGCGATCCGAGGAAAGGCAAGAATGCACAAAGGAGCAGGCCTCTCCAAATGGTCATCAGTGTCTTGCCTAGAGAGGTGCTTTGGCAACCTCTTCTGTGGTGTTCGAGCGTTGTGTATTTCCTCGATCAACAAACAAATCTGTCTGGGGTTAGTACCACTTTGATAGAGGACAATTTTCAACTTTAAATTTTCAATCTTAAACTTTCCCTTTCCATAGGCTGCAATTTAACAAAAATAGTCTCCACCCTCAGATGCTGTTTCATTTAAGAAATTCACAAACATGATTGCTGATGATGTGTGACATTTATATTTGTGCTCAGTGGAAGTCTGCTGATGGTATGGAAAAGAAATGCGGCAAAGAGTTTCTCCCCTTCCTATCATTCTGATGCTTCCCAAAATGTTTTGGCTACAAGAAGGAAGAAGAGGTTCTAGAAGAAACTGCCACTGTATTCCCTTTCTTTAAAAGGCAGCTTCTCCTGAACCCAGTTTCCATCACAAATACAAATTTGGCATGAAAGCTCATAAGTTCACTTTATCTGTGTTTATAAAAATGTTTATCCATATAAAAATCTCCTTTTGCTGTATATCGTATAAGTGCAATGTTCCAATCATATGCACATTTCGTAAGTGGGGAAGAATGTTTGCCACTGCAAATACTTCATGCTTTGTCTACCTTTTTGTTATTCAAAACATGCAGAAATGCATTTAACACAACTTTCTTAGATTGTTTTACCTTATTCCAACATCCTTGAATTGGCAAGCCATCTTCCCCCTATGACAGAGAAAGATATCAGGAGTTTGCATGTCAAGGGAAAAGTGGGGCAGGGGTGGGGCTAAAATTAGGGGGGAAAGGGGGGGTCAATATTACTTCTACAGAAAATGTTGAAAACCTGAAATCAGCTGATGGACTATACTAATGGAATATACTTTATCTACCCTTCCATAAATACGTTTGGTACTGGAGGCTGTAAACCTCTCATGCTCCTGATTGTACTCACCAGTATCTAATGACTGATTTCCCTTTATGGTTTTCCATTGGTTTATTGTGCAATTACGTGAGAATACTAGACCCTTTAAAGCCTATGGAATTTTCCCCATAATTCCTTTGGTGTGTGGATTAATTACACTTTAAATGTGCAAATGTTACTCCTTTGGTTTTCGCTGGCTAAGAAAACTTTCCTCAAGGTAACTCTTTTTTTATGGGGATACTGTATGTTCCTGGTGGCTAGAAATATATGATACTCTTCTGATCGCAGGAGTACACTGGGCACCTTTCAGGCACTGCATATAACGGTACTAGTCAGGAGCAGCACAGTCCCACCATGCTGTTTTGTGAACAATTCAGTATTTTAAAAAATTGTTCACAAGACATGATTTTGCTGTCTCAGCCTGGGTGCTCTTTGAGAACACCAACAAATCTAACTCTTCTGCATGTAAAAATTTCCTGCCATTTTGTAACTATTTCAGGTTTAAAAAATATATTCAGTCTTTCACAAGCTCTCTGTGTACACTTGTCTCCCAAGTGCTGCAGTATGCACCTATCATTTAATACATCTGTGAACACAAGTAGAACTCTGTCCTGCATCAAGGCCATATTTGTTTGAGTTTAACACCTAAAAAAAGCACTTCGTGTCTGTCAGAAAGCATACAATCTGTATAAACTATATTATTGTTCATCTGAATATGTAATCTGATTACCTCTGAGCCATTCAAATAACTAAATGCACATATATATGCACTATAAGCATGACAAATATTTTTCGTTGTCCAAAATATGTGTAAGCTGATCAGATATGGCCAAGCCTGTCAATTAATATAATTTCAGGTGAGTTATGTATGGCTTGTGTAGGCAACTTAATGTATTTTTCCTCTCTAAATAAGAGCAATCTCATGATATCTCATGAGAGAAAGAACATATTCCAACAATACCTGTCTTGAAGTACAGTGCTACAGAATATAGTAAATTAGCAATTATTTGGCACTGAAGTAACCATACACTTTCTGCATTCATTTTCTTTAATGTTGACTCTTTCCTGAAATGACATCTTCCCACTGTAGAGTTCAATAACCGAATCCAGTAATTAACCGGAAATGAAAAAGTTCCCATTGGTACAATGATCCCATTGGTAGGAATGAATTGTATAATGCCTAGCATGTGAAATCCAAAATTAGAGAAAAGGGACACCGTGATACGAGCAAATGTTACATCTGAGGGATCAACAGAGGTTTGCACAGTTGCACCAATGTGTGTATTTGCAAAGGATGGGAAGTGGAAGCATACTCATTAATGAGGAGGGAAAATAAGGCACAGTACACTTGAAAGGCATGCATTGCTTAGAATATAGAGCAGTGAGATTATAGCAGTAGAAAAATAAGCAAAATGAAAGGTTTTTGCCTACTTGAGCTAAAATACATATGCACAAATATGCTTTGAAAAGTGCTTTTCACAAGGTTAGTACAATTTCATACTTCTACAGTGTTTCTATAGATGTGGTGAATACTTTTTACAAAAATTATAGCAATGAACGTGCAGTATTTTGTGCAAGATTTGTCAGAAAGCCACATAAACTGAATCCTAAATATCTTGATCTAACTCTTTTAATTTGTGGTCATCTGTAATTCATACAAATTAGTCTCTAGCAAGCTCACTTACTGGATGCATGGGTGCCACACCATTATTGCTTGATGAAACAAGATATGTTGGGCATGAAGGTCCAATCTGTAATGCTTTATGCAAGTCAATGTGTGAGCCTAGGTAGCAGCATTGCAAATGTCTTGGAGCGCAACGCTCATTAGGAATAGTGCTGAAACTGATGTTGCTACATCAGTTTCAGCACTATTCCTAATGCACTGGTATCAGTAGCCTTGCAATCATGTAAGTTAACAAGGGCTTGTTCACATAGGTACCATTGGAGTGATCTGGATCAGGCTTAAATAGGGTTCCTTAAGGCAGGATAGAGGCCTGGTATGCCATTTGGTGTGATAATTACATCTAAATGGCATATGCATCTCAAGTAACCCTATTTGGTTTGCCTCCCTGTTAAAACAACAAAATCAAAACATTCCCCTTCCTTGTCCCTTCCTCTCTCCTCCTACTGCGAGAAGGAAGTTTTCATTAAAAAGAAATGGTATAGTACATCAGTGCTGTCAAAATAGACTGTTTTTTTAATTGCATCCTTCCTCTGCCCCTCCAGGAAGGAGCAGTTGAAGTGTTAATTTCCCAGTATTGTGTAGCAGCTAAGCTATCTTCTTTAGCTATTTAACAATATTGGGAAACTGAAAGTGGAAGGCAAATTTAAAACCTGGTTCATTTCCAGCGACCACACATGCTGGAAATAAACCAAAACGAAGGAATCATAGAATCATAGAAAAGTGAAGTTGGAAGGTGCCTACAAGGCCATCAAGTCCAACCCCCTGCTTGATTAAGGAATACAGATCAAAGGACATCTGCCAGGTGGTTATCTAAGTTTTTCTCGAATGCCTCCAGTGTTGGAGCACTCACCAGCTCCCGAGATAACTGGTTCCACTGTCATACTGCTCTAACAGGAAGTTTTTCCTGATATTCAAGCGAAATCTGGCTTCCTTTAACATGAGCCCATTGTTGTGTGTCCTGCACTCTGGGATGCTCGAGAACAGATCTTCCCCTCCTCTGTATGATAGCCTTCGAAATACTATGGTGCCTCGACTTACAAATGTCTCTGACTTATGACCATTTCGAGTTACAACCAGCGCTGGCTGCAAAAATTTGCTTCAACTTGTGGCCAGAGCTTCCAGTTACGAACAGAAAAAGGCAGAGAAAAAAGTTGTGGGGTTCAAATTGCTAACCATTGGTAGGCAAAGAGGCTGCTTCTTTGTAGCTTTTGCCCCAACGGTTAGAGAGTGTGTGATCGGAGGAGGCTTCGGACTGCCTGGTAAGGT